AGACATGTTGTGTAGACATGTTGTGAAGACATGTTGTGTAGACATGTTGTGAAGACATGTTGTTGTGGACCTCAGAGACACGTCCACTTGCTCACTGAGAAGGTTCCAGATGTTTTCTCTCATGTCTCACTCAGAGACTCTGACTCTGACATTTATTCTCACAAAGAGAACCTGCAGAACATGTGAGGAACACGTGAGGAGGATAACGTGAGGAGAAACACGTCAGTGGATGCTGGTACCTGGGCTGCTGGGGTTGGTGACCTCCATCCTCTGTGAGTGCAGATTGGTCGGAACAAACTGAAGGTGACGGTCTGATTTCCTGCTGCTCGACTTGAAGCAGGTCGCCGCTGTGGCAGAGAAGAAGAATTTCATTAACGCTAAATAAGAGACGTTTGACAGTATTATTGAAAACCATGTGACCCTGTGACCTCACCTGAGAGTTTGTCGAGCTCGGCCAGCGTCTCCTGGTAACAGCCAATCAGGCAGTGACAGTGGTCGATGACATCATGGCGGAGTCCGTCCCAGTGGGGCGACAGGTCACCGAGCTCCTTCACTTCCTGGATTCTGAGATAGAAAGGAAGTGAGGTCGACTCTTTCCTTCACACTTCCTGGTTCCAGAAGTCACGGAAACCGTGACCATCGGTTAGTCGAGGAGATTATTTGGACTTTCTGAACGCAGTAAATAAAGATGGACGACATCCTATCTGCCAATGCATCTTGATCGCCCCCTGGTGGCTGGCTGCGGGTGAGTGAGTCAAAGGAAGTTCTAAATACAGTCTCTTTCTCAATAAAAGCCTGTGTCAACACACACACACACACACACACACACACACACACACATACCTGAGTGTGTGTTCATGTATGAGCGCACTCAGCAGCTGTTTGGGTAAAGAGAAGGAGAGCGGCGTCTCTGACATCTGCTCCCTGACGAGCAGCCATCGCTGATCCTCCGTCAGAAACCTGTACACCTTACACACCTGAGCACACAGCACTGCACACACACACACACACACACACACACACACACACACACACACACACAGTATGTATAGAAAAGACCAGGCGGCAGAGAACTGTTAGAATCACTGTCTGCTTGTGTCTCACCAGCTCTCATCACTGGACTGTTTTCTTTGGCGTGGACAGAACTGTGGAGACTCTCACACACAGCAGGACACTGGAGGAAGAGGAGGAGGGAGGAAGATGGAGAGAAAACACTCATCACTTCTTTCAGAGCCACGTGAAACAACAGTATGTCTCTCCCTCTCTCCTCCTCTACCTTGTGTTCAGGAGGTGTTTTATCGTCGCTCTCTCCCTCCATCTGCAGGCGAGACAGCTTCACCTCCTCGTTCACTCCGTCCAATGTCCTGAGGAAGACAGAGAGCCTTCAATGTTTGGAACAATAAAGACGAGTGTTGAGGATTATTTTGAAAAACCTGGAACGTACCTGGTCACATGTCTGTACTGACACACCCACTTTCTCTCTCTCTCTCTCTCTCTCTCTCTCTCTCTCTCTCTTTCTTTCTCTTACTCTGTCTGTTTCACGCTCTCTGTCTCTCTCTCCCTTTCTCTCTCTATCTGTCTGTCTCTCTCTCTCTCTCTCTATCTGCCTCTCTCTCTATTTGTCTGTCTCTCTCGCTCTCTCTCTCTATCTGCCTCTCTCTCTATTTGTCTGTCTCTCTCGCTCTCTCTCTTATAGAAACAGGAAGACGTTGAGTTTTTCTATTCAATGGGGAGCTGCCCTCCCCCATCTCACTTCCTGTTGTGGCTTCAGGTTTCCCAGCAGCGTCCAATCAGGTGGTGATGGTGTGAACCTGGTGAAGTGAAGGTTAACTGTCTCTAATGATGGAGGGATGAAGGGAGGATTACCTGACGTGAGGCTCCTTCGACCTGAACAAGTCTCTGATGGAGGTGAAACTCAGAAAACTCCTCTGAAACACAATAGAAAGAGGAAAGAAGTTTCATATTCAACTGTGACGTCTTTTTAAACAATAAATGAAACTGAAAGTAATTATTCTCACTTATACTTCAGTGATTATACCATCAGAAAATCTTTAACTTCAAGAAGTACATGTTGTCATGAATCACATGATCAAATCAAATGACTGGTGGGTTTTGGGTTATGATATTTTTAATGTATATTAAAGGTACAGTGTGTAGAATTTAGTGACATCTAGTGGTGAAGTGTCATGTTGCAGCTGAACACCCCTCCCCTCCCCTCCCCCTCTCCTTCCAAACATGAAGAACCTGTGGCAGCTTCAGTCGTCATAAAAACTCAAAAGGTTTTAGTTTGTTCAGTCTGGGCTAATGTAAACAACATGGCGGCCTCCGTAGAGAGGGTCCCCTCCATGTAAATATAAAGTGTTTAAATATAAAGTATTTAAATATAAAGGGTCTTTTCTGGGGTAAAGAAAACTACAATTCATATAATTTAGATGAAATGAACGAGTGAAAACATGATGAGGATTATTCTACATTACATTTCTGACAGTAGTTCCCTTTCACACTGGAGCTTTAATGAAGCGTACACACAGAAATACACCAGATCTCCGTTAGGTGTCAATCTCAACTTGAGTTTTCATTCTTGACTTTTAAAACTTGTTGGTTCTGAACGTGTCCGATCTTTAACCTGAGGTCGTGAACATCACGGTCACACATTCACACAGTAACCTCATTCAAACCAGTTGCTATGACAATAATCCAAAGCTCAGGATTAACTCCAGATCTCTCACACACACACACACACACGTTTGTGTTTTCTTTTTACTTCCTGTTGTTTGTGTTTAAACTGTAAAATGTCAAACCTCAGTGGAATGTTTCTGACGTTAGAGTTTAATAAACGAATCACTGATCATGTGACGTGTCGTCATCAGCTGTTAACTGTCGTTGATGTTGTGAAATGTTGTGAAATCTGCGACACGACGTTATAATGTGATGTAAACGTGTCGACATATCAACACTGGTCTGATCTTCACCAGAACATGTTTATACTTCTGATTCAGTTTATTGTCTTCATCAGGTTCAAATCTGAATACTGGTCTCCATGGAAACACGTCACTGATGAAGACAAAGAACAAGAGAAACAAACAAACAAACAAACAGGATGTTGAGACGATGTAGAAAAAGTGTTTCCACATTTCCTCCATCACATGAGGTTTGGGAAATCACACACACACACACACACACAGAAACACACACAGAAACACACAAACAGACTGAGACTCCACAAAATATTAAATGTGTGTGTGTGTGTGCATTCCCCTACCTGTCCAGCAGGGGAGCTGCTGTCTCCTGGTGGACAGAAACACTCTGTGCAGGAAATCATCGCCCTCAGTTTACTTCCAGTTCCTGTTGTTTCTCATTTCTCTGTCGTCTCCTCTGCTGCTCGTCCCTCTGCTCCCTCCTCCCCCTCCTCCTCCTCTTTGTCCTGGCCGACAGGATAAAAAAACGCATGGCCTCATGGGAAACATGCAGATTAGTAGAGACACAGTCGAGTTTGGCCGAAACCAAAAGAGAAAAACAAAAATCTATCTAAAAAAATCACTCAATTCTCTTTGGTTCAGTCCTCGATTTACCTGTGTGTGTGTGTGTGTGAGTGAGAGAGTGTGTGTGTGAGAGAGAGAG